TAATAATATATATATATATATATATATATATACACACACACACACACACACACACACACACACACTGGTATGTAATGTATGATAACCGAAACCTCACTGTACCTTACAAAATATTAGAAACTTTGCATTTATTGGTTGCTGTGTAAGCATGATAAAATAGGAAACAGGATGTTCATAAGCACTTTCACACCTATATTACCACTAACTCTCAACCATCCAAGTTTATTGGATTAGATACAACTTTGTACAGAGTATATCATAGATATTTTCTCTCACTTTTATAAAGTACTTTAGACAATTCTTGTTTCAGCGACTGTACTGTAAAGAAGCCAGCAAATTCTACCCCACTGTGTTCTAGGAGCCGGGATTCAAATAGTTTCTGTAGGATACTTCTGCTTATCAACTTATTGAATTGGCCTGGACTTTCTACAAAGTCATAACATAAAAATTTTATAATACTTTAGAGTTTAGACAATTGTTGTTGTAACTACTATACTGTAAACAAGTTGATAAATGCTATTCCACTGTTTTCAAAGCAGGGAAAGTTCTGGGAATTGTGGCACATAAGCTTATTTGATATTGACAGCATCAAATTACTCAAAATACAGTAACACCTAAATAGGAGGGGTGACTCATTCATTATTTTTGGCAGGTTTCTACTTTAGCCACTAACAGTAGAATAAGCAGAGGAAATAGGTGTAAAAATGATTAGATGAAACTCTCAGGAGATTTACTTTGGAACTTTGCTGTCCATACTGTTAGCAATAAAATAACTACAAAAAAGTAAGTGTGAAAAGATGAGAAATGTAAACTCTGGCCATAAGTACTTTGAAATTTTGTGATCAATACTTTTATAATGATAATTATCTAGAAGGACATAGAGATTACACAAATGAAACTTGACAAATTTCAGATAAAGAAAAGTATTTTTAATCTTAAAATCAAAATTACTTTACACATGGATAGTCAACATTCTGAAAGAAAAATTTAAGAGCAAATCTTTAATAAAAAAATCCTAATACTTAATTTAAAAACTTGATATTTTGTGTATGAAAGCCTTGTAATGTTTACTAATAACCTGCAAAATGTTCTGGAGATCCCTGTACATTATCAAAAATTATAGTACAATTACTCTCATGAATACTTTTATGGTTATGAGCTGGGTGGATTCCACCCAGCCCACATTTGTAAGGTTACGGTGAAACAAGAAATAAGTTTTGCC